ATTTATACTCTTCTACTACAGAGTTTTTCCTCCAAGATAAACAGTGTTAGGCCTCACAGACTTTGCCTGTGTAAATATTTCTTTATTCTTGAGGAAGAGGTCGTGGAAATTTACCTGTACTGCAAATCAATCTAGTTTCACAGTTAATTTAAATGCTTATTTGCAGGACACTACTTTACATTTTTATAACTACATTAAAGGACAATTTCATTAGGTTGATATTTTTATTCACACAGAGGAGAAATGGAGTAACTGAAAAGCCTCTCCCTAAATTCTTTTTTATTAAATAAATATTTGATTTAAATAGATCAGTAAAATAATATAGACAAGGATAATAACTCTGGTACTACTACATACCTTACATTACAAAGCAGTGGGGAAGAGCATGGGTTCTACAACCAAATGGTTTGTATTCAAACCCTACCTCCATCACTATGGAATAAATGAATCTGGGCAAGTGTTTTAACTGTGCCTCATTACTTCGTCTATAAAATAGGGATGCAACTGTACTTATCATGGGGTTAATGTGAGATTAGAAGAGGTTACATCCATAAACTATAAGAACTAGGCCTGGCCTAGCATCCATCGGTATTAGCTACTATTACTATTATAAATAGAATCCATTAACAACAATAAACACAGGGTAATAAAAATGAAATGAAAAGATAATGTATCCCACTGTAATAGTACAAAAGTAAATTCTACAGGGCAACTGGAAAGATATAATTGCTACAGTTAAGCACTTGAGTTCTAAATAATCTAGAGCTGGTTCTCACTGCCATATTTTAACAATTAAATTGGAAGACTTAGGTACATTATAGTTAAACTAACAAAAAAGTCAAACTAGAGAAGTCCTTCTTTGTAATATACTCACATCTCAGTCACAACTGCTATGGATTATTGTTGATCTAAAATCATAGCCTCAGAAACTGTCCAGTTATATTCGAAAGGACTGTCACGTAAACTGCATTCTCATTACATTTCTATTAGCAAGATGGAGTAAATCCTGTTATCTCCATTTTCCAGATGTGAAAGCTGAGTTTTCCGTGTGTGATGCGCACACATGGACTAGTCTTCTTTTCAGGGGGTAGCACTTCTTTCCCCATTTTGTTACGCAGCAGTCATGACTTTGCCTTGGTCAGCTGCCACATGTGGCTGGACATGTTTCAAAATATCTTTTGTTGCTTATTATTATGATTATAAAAAATAATGCATGATCATTGCAGCACATTTTGAAAATACAGAAAAGCAGAAAGATGTCAGAGAGAACAGTTAATCAATTAGTATAACTTTTAGTCTTTTTCTTTGCAAATTGTAAAGTACTCATAATCATGTATTATTTAAAATTACATAAATTTAATGTTATACTAAAAGTATTCTTGTGTAAGTTTTTAAATAATCTGAACTATTCCTCAATAAAATATTAGCAAACCAAATCCCAGAATACAGTAAAAGGATCATATACCATAATCAAGTGGGATTTATTCCAAGGAGGCAAGGATGGTTTAACATCCACAATTTAATCAGTGTAATATATCATTTAATAAATTTAAGGATGAAACACATGACCATCTCAATAGATACAAAAAAAGCATCTGACAAAATTCAACATCCATTTATGATCCAAAAAAAAAAAAAACTCTCAACAAAATGGGTATAGAGGGAATGTACCTCAACATAGTAAAAGTCATATATGACAAATTCACAGTTAACATCATACTCAAGGATGGAAAGCTGAAAGCTTTCCACTAAGACCAGAAACAAGAGAAGGATGCTTAGTCTCACCGCTTTTAGTATATGTGCTGCTGAAGCAAGCACTAGTCTCACCACTTTTGTTCAACACTATACTGGACTGAAGCGACCCAGCAGCAGCAGCAGCATACTGGAAGTCCTAGCCAAAAAATTTAGGCAAAAAAAAAAAGGAAAAGAAAGAAAAGGCACTTGTATCTAAAAAGGAAGAAGAAAAACTGTCACTATTTGCAGATGACATGAAACTATATATAGAAAACACTAAAAATAATCACCAAAAAAGAACCATGAATTCAATAAACTCACATGATATTAAATCAATATACAGAAATCTGTGGCATTTCTATACACTAACAACAAGCAATCAGAAAGAAAAATTAAGAAAACAATCCCATTTATAATTGCAACAAAAAGAATAAAATATCTAGAAATAAATTTAACTAAGAAGATGAAAGATCTGTACACTAAAAACTATAAGACACTAATGAAAGAAATTGAGGATGATGAAAATAAATGGAATGATATACTGTACTCATAGGTTGAAAGAATTAATATTTTTAAAATAACTATATTACCCAAAGTAATCTATATATTCAATGCTATCTAATCAAAATTCCAATGGCACAGTTCACAGAACTACAACAAATAATTCTAAAGTTTGTATTGGACCACAGAAGATCCCAAATAGCCAGAACAATTTTGAGAAAGAAAAAAGCTGGAGATATTGTGGTTCCTGACTTCAAATTATACTACAAAGCTGTAAAAATCAAAGAGTATAGCACTAGCACAAAAACAGGCACACAGATCAAAGGAACAGACCTGAGCGCCTGGAAACAATCCACACGGGTGCAGACAATTTACAACAAAGGACGAAAGAACATGAACAGGAGACAGGGCAGTCTCTTCAGTGAGTGGTGTGGGGAAAGCTGGACAGCCACATGAAAAAGAATGAAACTAGACCACTACCTTACACTATACACAAAAATTAACTCAAAATGGATTAAAGACTTGAATATAAGACTTCAAACCATAAAATTTCTAGAAGAAAATACAGGTGATAACCTCACTGACTTTGGTCTAAGTGATGCTTTGTGGATCTAACTCTAAAGGCAAGGAAAGAAAAAAGGAAAATATTAATGTTCTATAAAATTATTTCTTCATATTAATATTAGGAACTAATCTTTAGAGAGCTATTAATAGCCATTTAGTAATTTGATTTTATTTTCTAGTCTATATCTCCATTGGGTAATTTTATTAGAATCAGGAATTGCATTCAAAGAAACTTTTAAAAACACATAGTGAAATAAAATTCCAATGTTATGGAATTTTAAGTTATGAAAATTTCTAGCCATTAGTGTTACTCATAAGAATCAAATCAGTCACTAGAATAAACTAATTAAGTACTACAGTATGGTTTTGCATGGTTATCACAGTATATATATTAATATTTAAAGAGTCCACAACTATTGCTAAATTAAACCAATTTTTTTTCTCTAACCCACCCTAAAATGCTTCTCTTATTATATAAACAAAAATATCTGAAGCATAGATAGTGGTCAAAACATGAAACAGCTGTGCAAGAGAAATTTTGTGACTTTTTCTCTATTTGGTTCTTATGGAGAAAATATTTTTACTTTCATAAGCACCAAAATGCATATACATTTCAACAAAAGTAATGCTAAAGCCATTTAAGTGCTGTCACAGTATTTCTTTTTTTTCCAGTTAAAACACTTTTTATTGAAGTGTAGTTGAAATACTATATGTCATAGGTGTATGATACAGTAATTCAAAATTTTTAAAGGTTATACTCCATTTACAATTATTATAAAATACATAGTACTTTCCTGTCTATAGAAAATATCAAATTTATCTTTCATTTATACTTTATTTCAGAAAATATTTAGCAAGTGATACTGGTCAGTAGAAATTTCTGGCACAATTTCTGGGAATCCAGTTGCTTCTCATTCAAAAGTCTTATAAGTCATTTCACTGACCAAACACTCAAAATTTCTTTCATTTTTCTGAGAATTACAACTTCTTCTGCAGCCATGATGAACATATCTTGTACAATTCAAAAAAGACTTATGGGGTGAACAAAACTTTAGCAAGTTAAATTGCTTTGTCAAAGCTTCAGGTCTGTGTCTCACACAAAAGCAGGACAAGGCCTCACTGCCCACAGATACTGTTGAGAAGGGTCTCAGTTCACTGACTTCAACGGGGCAGTCACATTTACTGGGCATTCACCAGAGCACTGTGTAAGCACTGTAGGAAGACAAACAAAAAGAAGAGAAGGGCTTGCTAGGAGGAGTTTATGTGTTAAGAATCCAAGATAAATATCCATAGAATCTAAACAAATTCAGTATCAAAATACACAAGATTAATCACAGCTAAACTAAGAGATTAAATCCATCAGGAGACCCATATAGGGTCAGCACAATAACTGGGGTTTAGATTATTTGTTTGTTTTTTAATTAAGAATATATGGAGGCTACAGGGCTTTCCTGGTGGCTCAGATGGCAAAGAATCTGCCTGCAATGCAGGAGACCTGGCTTCGAACCCTAGGTTGGGAAGATCCCTTGGGAAGGGAATGGATACACACTCAGTATTCTTGCCTGGAGAATCCCATGGACAAAGAAGCCTGGTCCGTGGGGTGGTCCATGGGGTCACAACAAGCTGGACACAACTGAGCGACTCACATACATACACACATCTGGAAGCTATACTTCCTAACCGACTAAACCACTGCTACTAAATAAAGATGCAGATGCCCTTCCCTCACTCCTGAAGACCCTGATAAAGGGCTGAAAAGAGACCAGAACAAAAGATCAGTTGTGGCAGAGTATGGAGCACTGATGTGCTCATGAGAATCAGAGCGGGTTGATAGATTCTGTCATTCTTCCCCAGGTTCTCTAAGAGCAGCATTTGTCTCTCAGTCTATGAGGCAAACTTCCTTCCCTCCCCTCACACGCACACACAAACACTTGCTGCCCTCAGTCCACAAACATGGATGCACTCACGCTCATACACATACACACATGGTGAGCACGTATACAGTCACAAAAAGAGTCATTACACCTTACACAGGGCAGACCGATAAACTGACCTCAGTCAAATGATAAGGTACTCTTCCATCAAAAGTGCAAGTACAGAGTAAAACACCAAATTCAACAGATGCAAAAGTAGTGGACAACTGAAGCAGGTACACAGAGCAAACCGTCTGGACCGGAAAAGCCCAGAGGCTGTGAGCTTACCGAGAATAATTCTTCTTGGTGGAAGGTCCAGGCTTCTGGATGATGCTGTTACCAAGTGGGACCAGCTTTCCAGGAAATCTGGTGGCAGTGTGGTTAATCTGTTACTTGATAAATCCAGGTAGGTGAGGTTCTTCAGGTACCTGACTGCCTCGTTTGGCACGTTGGCTATTCTGTTATTGTGCAAATCCAGGGTCCTCAGGCCGGGCATGTCCCTCAGAGATGTCCAAGGGAAAGCAGTCAGAGAATTTCCATCCAAGCGCAATTCATGCAGATGCTTTAGGTTGTAAAAGCTGCTGGTGTCAAGGCTGGCCACAGAATTGTAAGTCAGCCAGAGGTACTGGAGCTCCACCAGGTAGTAGAAGGCCTCGGCAGGGATTGTATGGACAACGGTCTTTTCTATGCGAAGCTTCACAGTGTCCACGGGAAAGTTTGTAGGTAACTCATTCATATCAAGGTCATTACATAGCACCACCCTAGTGTCACAAAGCAATGGAAGGAAATCTGTTTTCTGAGGTTCAGTTGAAAAAAGTAATACTTATTTGAAATATGCATAGAATTTTTCGTTCCCTACTGGTTTGCACGAAGTATCCATTCAGCCTAGCTGAATGCTCATTAATAGTCATCCTCATCACCTTCTTCTAGGTTGAACCATATGAAACGGTCATTTTTGCAGTTTAAAAACCATCAAATATCCTTAATTTCATGTGACTAAACCTGAACTTTTTATGTGTCAGGCCTGTGCAATATACATCACATTCCACCCCTTTTTAATCATCACAACAGCCCAATGAACTGATATTAGGGAATAGGTAAAGGTACCAGCTCTAGAGTCAATCTGGTCTTGGTTTGACTCTAAGCTCTATCATCTTTGTGGCCATGGAAAGCCACTTCACCAGTCTCAGCTCATTTTCCCACATGGTACTCTTATGGTGAGTAATTGAAATGGATGAAAAAATTTACACCTTCTTGGCACTCAGTAGGTGTTTGCTATTATTATCATCAGTCACATTTTTATAGATAAAATAACTGAGGCCCATCAACATCAGGTAACTTGCCAGAGTCACAGAGCTAGTGGTTACACAACCACCTTTCAAACCCACATCTATCCAGCTCCAAAGTGCACACTCTAAACTTCTTTAGGAAATGCCCCATTTTAAAAGAATCCCCTACTGAAGTTATAAATTGATGCTTATGAAGAGGAGCACAAGAGAAAGGAAGAAAGAAAGGAGGGAAGGGAGGAAAGAAATGGCAAATGTTCATATTGGATGACTAAAATCAAGCTCTGTTTTAACAATGTGACCATTACATTGCTTTCAGCCTAAGAAATAAACCAATTAACTGCAAGTTTATTTTTTTTTACCTCTCACAATTTAAGTGACCTTGAGCAAATGACATCACAATCTTGTTTGTGGCATGTAGAAAAACAGGCATAGGAAAACAAGCCTGTCCATATGTGGGTGTAAAGTAGGAAAAATCAGAAAATTTAGATTCATCTAAACCTGAAAAAAAAGACCTATTTATCTCCCATTATATATTCAGCTCCACCAGGTTGCTGAAAATGATTAATATAAAGCATCAACTGAATTATGATACATTACACATGTAGTAAGTAGTAACAATAAAACAGCCATTCAGTAAAACACATCACATTAAATCAGTGAATTTTTAAAGCCAGCCCATGATGTAAAGAGAAGGAAGCAGCATAAGCAATGTGCTGGTTGCCTCATCTCCTCTCTTTAGGAGAAGTGCCTATGCATCATTGGAATTCTCTAGGCATACCTCTTCATCTCTATTCTGAATCACAAATGTCAGTGTACTTTATACCAGAATGATCCCGCTTCTCATTAAGTCAGCATTCCAGTGCATTGTATTGCAAAAAGCCTTGACTGGAAGCTAAAAGACCCAGACTGTCAGCGAGTCACTGCAACAATTCAACATTATGATCTCAGACAAGCCATTTCGTGTCTATAGGATTTATTTATCCAAAAAATGACAGTGGTCAAACTAGACTATTTCTGGAGTTCTTACCAGGCATACCATGCTATGATTTTTATAAAATGCATCATAATGGGGCCACCGTGAAGAAGGAAACACTTCTGTTACTATTTTCTGCAAGGTAGTCTGATCTGAGTCATTAACTGCAGTATATCTTTTGCCAAGTAGGTCTTAAATTGTTACATTCTTCTCACTGTCTTTAACCACTTTGAGTGAATATCTCAGACACCAGGAGTTAGTAAATTTTATAAAATAACATGAAAAATTATACAAAAATATGTGTTAATTATTATTTGTATAAATTTGTAAGACATAAATTGAGCGATTCTTTTAACAAATTACTTTGAGGCTCACTGTTCACTTCAACAGAGTCACACAAAAAGTCTGATTTTGTTATTAAAAATTCTCTCTCAAAAAAAAGTTTACTATGTTTAGCCAATAAGAGTTCTGTTTTGTATTTAACTTCTATCTGAAAGGACTCATGCATATCATAAACAAACACTTGTTCTCACTTCACAAGCATATATTAAAGAAACACAGAGGTTAAGTAACTTCTGCAAGGTCCCACAGTGTCCAACACAAAACGCTGACCCATTTCTTTCAAACTCTAACATCTTAAAATGAAAAATTCTGATTACAAACGTCTCTAATTTCACTCATGTGATCGTCCTTCCTACTTCTTAAAGTCTATTCAATTGAGTAAATAATCCTCAAAATGAAAGGGAAAACCCTGGAAGCAAACGATCTGGGCATGTCACACAACTTCCGATCAGCCCTGCCCCCTTTTGCTTTCCATAACCAGACTGAACTGCCCACACAAATCTCAGTGGTTTGACCTCCTGCAAGGCTCACTGTGTGAATACAAGTACAATGAATATTTTAGTAACACAATGTGTCTGAGAGTCTCAAATAATTTGAGGGGCTTTGAAGGAGTTAAACTGCTCACAATGGAGTAGGCAACCAGGATTAACACAATTACATTAAAGCTTATCTAAATTAAGCCTCCTCTCTGATTTCTGAGCAGAGGCAACTGCTTTCAAAACAAGGCCATCTGGTTTGAGTCCTTTTCCTCGGAATCATTAGAACACTGAGTAGCAAGGAGAGAAGCATACCTTGATCCCAGGCCATCATTTCTGCCGTGATAATCACAGGTGCACTGTGAAGGACATAAACAGCTCACTCTCTCCAAAAAGCTAAGCACAATGCACAGACTTGCAAAGAGATGCATGGCTCCTTTTAGTGGTTATTTGGACAAAAGGTAAAAACCAAATCCTAAGCATTCAGAAACTGGTGCGCCAGGAATACAAATGGCCATTTAGTAACAGCAGATTACACAGGATTAGCTGAGATCTGTAGTTACTTAACCTTCAAGTGTAGCTTGCAGAGGATCAATCCGCCTAGACTTTGAAACTGGTTCCAGCAAAGTAACACATTCTAAGAGAAGTAAAAATCAAACAAGTATCAAGAAAATTTCAATAATTTCTCATATCTAAATTTGCCAGGAAATGCCTATCGAATCCCTTTTCCTTAGATGTATTGCTACTATACCTTGAAGAAACACATAATGTTCAAAATGCTTCAATATCTTATCAGGTGTTAGAAAATACTATAGATTACTTGTGTGTTAAACATTATAAATTTTACTTTTTGCTTTCTACCAGCATGCATAACATTCAGTTTTATAAAATTTAGCTTTAAAGATAGAAGTGCATAACATAAAATTGATTTAATCAATATTGCCAGGTTCTGCTTAGCCCCCAAAACAAACTAAATAAAGTCCAGTACCTAGAATATTTTAGGCAAAATGCTTGAATTCACCATCGTCACAGCAGCACTGAGACTCTGGTAAGACAGCAACCTGTGATGCTCCCAGCTCCTCACTGAGAAGTGCAGGCCCACGACCAACACATTTATTTTTCAGTGAAGGTTTTCATCTTTGTTCCAGAACATATTTTTCTCCAAGCTAACTTCCCAAGTTATGAGCAATCAAACCTTATCTGAAGCTCAATTCTCCTGTCTGCTAGCATATATTAGGCTCTGTTCAAAAATAAAAATTAAATACTTAAAAAACTACTTCCATACCCATAACATGGAATGGAATGGTCACACACTGAGGAAACCAGAGTTGAAAGAGACACGTGTACCCCAATGTTCATCGCAGCACTGTTTATAATAGCCAGGACATGTAAGCAACCTAGATGTCCATCAACAGATGAATGGATAAGAAAGCTGTGATACACATACACAATGGAATATTACTCAGCCATTAAAAAGAATATTTGAATCAGTTCTAATGAGGTGGATGAAACTGGAGCCCATTATACAGAATGAAGTAAGCCAGAAAGAAAAACACGAATACAGTATACTAACACATATATATGGAATTTAGAAAGATGGTAATGATAACCCTGTATTCGAGACAGCAAAAGAGACACAGATGTATAGAACAGTCTTTTGGACTCTGTGGGAGAGGGCGAGGGTGGGATGGCTTAGGAGAATGGCATTGAAACATGTATATTATCACATGTGAAATGAATCGCCAGTCCAGGTTCAATGCATGATACAGGGTGCTCGGGGCTGGTGCACTGGGATGACCCTGAGGGATGGGATGGGGAGGGAGGTGGGAGGGGGTTCAGGATGGGGAACACATGTATACCCATGGTGGATTCATGTCAATGATGGCAAAACCACTACAATATTGTAAAGCAATTAGCCTCCAGTTAAAATAAATAAATTAAAAAAAAATAAAATAAAGTGAAGGCTGGTGAAAAAAAAAAGGATCCAGGTAATAAATATATAAGGCACTTAACTTCCTTTTGACATGGTTCTATTCATCATCTTTAAATCAAAAAACTTTCCTAAAAGAAAATTAATTCCATAAAAATAAGATTATGGAAAACACTGTTTAAAACTAATAATACACATAAACAACAGCATCAAATGAATTTTCTCAAAATAAAACACTGTAAAGTTTCAGAATCTGCACAATTCATTCGCTCATTCAGTATTTACTGAGCATTTAAAGAATTCAGTGCTGGTGCACTGGGAAGACCCAGAGGGATGGGATGGAGAGGGAGGTGGGAGGGGAGATCAGGATGGGGAACATATGTAAATCCATGGCTGATTCATGTCAATGTATGGCAAAAACCACTACAATATTGTAAAGTAATTAGCCTCCAACCAATAAAAATAAATGGAAAAAAAAAAGAATTCAATGCTTTGTACATAGTACATAGTACAAAGCACTAAACTAAGTCGTAAGGGTAGAATTGATGTTTTTGAACTGTGGTGTTGGAGAAGACTCTTGAGATTCCCTTGGACTGCAAGGAGATCCAACCAGTCCATCCTAAAGGAAATCAGTCCTGAATATTCATTGGAAGGACAGATACTGAAGCTGAAATTCCAATACTTTGGCCACCTGATGCAAAGAACCAACTCATTTGAAAAGACCCTGATGCTGGGAAAGATTGAAAGTGAGGGGAGAAGGGGACGACAGAGGATGAGATGGTTGGATGGCATCACCGACTCAATGGACATGAGTTTGAGTAAACTCCGGGAGTTGGTGATGGACAGGGAGGCCTGGCGTGCTGCAGTCCATGGGGTTGCAAAGAGTTGGACACAACTGAGCGACTGAACTGAACTGAGGGGTAGAAAGATGGATGAGACATGATCACTACACAAAAGGAATTACATGATAAAGAGAGACACAGAATACACTTGGAAGAAGCACAAGAGATCACCAGACCCAACAGTATTGGTGGGGAAAGGCTTCCTAGAGCAAGTGGTACCTGAGATGCCCCTATGAGGCACACCAATGTATTAAGTGGAAAATCTGAAAGAGGCAAGCAGAGGAACAGCAGGAACAAAGGGAGGAAGCAAGAAAGAGCATGTAGTTCTTAGAGAAATATAAGCATTTCAGATTGTATGTACGGCACACACACACACACAGGAAGTAAGACCAAAAGCTGAAAAGTCCCTGTGGGACCATGTTGAAAAGGGTCATGAGGGTGCAACTGACAGACTTATAGTTACTTGGCAGATGACTGATTTTTTTGTTGTTTAAGATATGTGCATTTTTTTTAAAAAAAGGAAAAATTACTTTTATTCTTTGTTTAAAGTATTTATCGTTTAGTTTTTTGGCCATGCTGGGTCTTAGCTGCAGCACTTGGGATCTGCAGTCTTTGTTGTGGCATGCAGGATCTTTAGCCGTGGCTTGTGGGATCTTTTCAGCTGCAGCACAGAAACTCCTAGTTGTGGCATGTGGGACCCAGTTCCCTGACCAGGGACTAAACCCAGGCCTCCTGCCCTGGGGGCTAGGAGCCTTGGACATTGGACTACCAGGGAAGTACTGACTGAAGGTTTTTAGAGCTGAAGATTTGGGGGTTGGGAATTTTATTTTTAAAAGAAGAGTATTCCAGTTATAAAGCTGATACATTGATTACAGTGGAGAAAGGCAGAGGATGGGAAAATAAATTAGCAGATTATAGCAGTTTACCAATCCAAATATATGGGTAGTTGTATATATTTGGATTAGTGTCCTGATTTTCCTTTATTTGCAGTCAAAGGTGCTAAAGAAACAGCCTACAAAAATAAATACATAAGAAAACATAATATGCAAAGATACACAGCCTCACTAGCATTAAAAAATGTGAAATGAAATGAATTTGCTAAAGTATATAGCTTTTAGTTTTAAAAAACTGGTACAGCACTATTCAGTTCAGTTCAGTTCAGTCACTCAGTCGTGCCTGACTCTTTGCGACCCCATTAATCGCAGCATGCCAGGCCTCCCTGTCCATCACCAACTCCTGGAGTTTACTCAAATTCATGTCCATTGAGTCGGTGATACCATCCAGCCATCTCAACCTCTGTTGTCCCCTTCTCCTCCTGCTCCCAATCCCTCCCAGCATCAGGGTCTTTTCCAATGAGTCAACTCTTCACATGAGGTGGCCAAAGTATTGGAGTTTCAGCTTCAGCATCAGTCCTTCCAGTGAACACTCAGGACTGATCTCCTTTAGGATGGACAGCACTATTAGCAGGGGTATAATGGGAAAAGTGAACTTATTCACTGCCAGTGGCCATGTAATTAGTTCAATCTTTTCAGAGAGCAAGCTCACAACAATAATACTGTTTCTATATTTTTATCCAGTAATTCTAGTCTGAGGAAACACTCAGATAGAATAATTTCTCCTTGCCTTCCCCACACAAAAAGTATTTGTACTAAAATATTCCCAGTGGTTCATCCACAACTGTATTCCCAGTGGTTCATTCACAATTCTTAGAGTTGTGGATGAACCACTGGGAATATTTCAGCAATTTAAATATCCATTATTGATCCACAATTAGTACAGAACAGACTGGGTCAGATGACCTGGGGATATACTGGGCCACGCGTAATGGAAATTCTTAGCTTAAATACTTGCTTGAAAGTGAAAGTGAAATCGCTCAGTCGTGTCCGACTCTTTGCGACCCTGTGGACTATAGCCTACCAGGCTCCTCCGTCCATGGGATTCTCCAGGCAAGGATACTGGAGTGGGTTGCCATTTCCTTCTCCAGGGGATCTTCCTGACCCAGGGATCAAACCCGGGTCTCCCGCATTGCAGACAGATGCTTTACCGTCTGAGCTGCCAGGGAAGCCCTAAATACTTGCTTATGACCTTATTATGACCTTATTAATGTTACTAGCTATATTATTTGAATTCAGTCTGTTTTACCAGGTTACTGTTTCCTGCATTACCGGATGTATGACTGAGCCTCAGATAAAAGTAATAATGACTAGAGAACTTAAAACAATTGACCAAATATATAGTTCTGTAATAAGATCAAGGATTGTAACAGTGGAAGTCTATATACGGGGATAACCAACAAGAGGGGACAGTTCCTGGACCATAACAGACTGGTAAGACAGGTAGTGCAGAGGCTTTTGGTTGCTGTTAACAGGGCCTAGTCCAGGAACAGCAAACCAAGTGGCCTATCAACAAAATCCCCCCCTGATCTGGGAATGAGCATTCCTAGCACTGAGGGACAAATGAGTCACAAAATCCTTCTCTAACCTTGGTCGAAATTATTACCCAAACAAGGGGATTATAAAATAAACAATGTTGCCCGCTATCCAGTTCTACAAGAATCAAGTCATTAGCCACAGTAGTCATTGACCTACAATACATCCTGAAAGGAATTCAGGGTGAAGGTCAGGATGAGGCACTTTTTGCTCTGGGGAAACTGGCAGAACTGACTCTCAGATGGTTATGTATTTTAAGGAGAAAATTTTATGAACCCAGTTTCTTGCATCTTTCCATACTTAAAAGAGCACTAAAAACATTAGCTAAGATACCTGTTCCTTGAAAAAGCAGTAACTTTTTACCAAGATATGTTCTTCATTGTACATATATTCCAGCCTTCCCATTCACCTTTCTGGAACAGTCCTCAGAGCTTCCTGAAAGATTGTCTCTTGGGTTATAATCTTCAGGCTAGCTTGAATAAAATTTCCTATTCCTTTCTTACACTGACTATTGACTAATATTTTCATCAACAAAACAAGATAGGAAAAAGAGAAAAAAACATACAGAAACACTCACTCTGATTAAACTTAATTCTAATGTCAAATATATGGAAATACATACACATAAAAATAGGAATTAAAAAAGTAAAACACATATTAACATGCACAGGTTATAGTGTTACATAAAATATATATGGCATTGACTGACGTGATTTAAAAACAATAGTGCTTAATTTCATTATTTTTGTTAAATGGTAAGTGAATACTTGCATTAAAATTTGAAAATTGTGAAATGCTGACAGTTTCCCATTCTAGCTGGAAATAAATTCCAACAACTTAGTAATTATTTATTAAAGACTATTAACCATTATTTGCTGTTGTGCTTTTTAGTTGCTAAGTCATGTCCAACTCTTTGGTGACCCCATGGACTATACCCCAAGACTACTGTGTCTCTGGAGTTTCCTAGAATACTGGAGTGAGTTGCCATTTCCTTTTCCAGGGGATCTTCCTGAGCCAGGGATTGAACCCATAACTCCTGTATTGGCAAGCACGTCCTTTATCACTGAGCCACTAGGGAAGCTAATTAACTATTATTCAGTTCAGTTCAGTTCAGTCGCTCAGTTGTGTCCAACTCCTTGGGACCCCATGAATCACAGCACGCCAGGCCTCCCTGTCCATTACCAACTCCCAGAGTCCATCCAAACCCATGTCCATTGAGTCAGTGATGCCATCTAACCATCTCATCCTCTGTCATTCCCTTCTCCTTCCGCCCTCAATCTTTCCTACCAGTATCAGGGTCTTTTCAAATGAGTCAGCTCTTCACATCAGGTGGCCAAAGTATTGGAGTTTCAGCTTCAGCATCAGTCCTTCCAATGAACACCCAGGACTGATCTCCTTTAGGATGGACTGGTTGGATCTCCTTGTAGTCCAAGGGACTCTCAAGAGTCTTCTCCAACACCACAGTTCAAAAGCATCAATTCTTCGGCACTCAGCTTTCTTCACAGTCCAACTCTCACATCCATACATGACTACTGGAAAAACCATAGCCTTGACTAGATGGACCTTTGTTGACAAAGTAATGTCTCTGCTTTTTAACATGCTGTCTATGTTGGTCATAACTTCCCTTCCAAGGAGTAAGTGTCTTTTAATTTCATGGCCACAATCACCATCTGCAGTGATTTTGGAGCCCCCAAAAATTAAGTCAGCCACTGTTTCCACCATTTCCCCATCTATTTGCCATGAAGTGATGGGACCGGATGCCATGATCTTAGTTTTCTGAATGTTGAGCTTTAAGTCAACTTTTTCACTCTCCTCTTTCACTTTCATCAAGAGACTCTTTAGTAGTTCTTCGCTTTCTGCCCTAAGGGTGGTGTCATCTGCATATGGAGAAGGCAATGGCACCCCACTCCAGTACTCTTGCTGGAAAATCCCAAGGACGGAGGAGCCTGGTGGGCTGCCATCTATGGGGTTGCACAGAGTCGGACACGACTGAAGTGACTTAGCAGCAGCAGCAGTAGCAGCAGCTGCATATCTGAGGTTATTGATATTTCTCCTGACAATCTTGATTCCAGCTTGTGCTTCCTCCAGCCCAGTGTTTCTCATGATGTACTCTGCATATAAGTTAAATAAGCAGGGTGACAATATACAGCCTTGACATGCTCCTTTTCCTATTTGGAACCAGTCTGTTGTTCCATGTCCAGCTCTAACTGTTGCTTCCTGACCTGCATACAGTTTTCTCAAGAGGCAGGTCAGGTGGTCTGGTATTCCCATCTCTTTCAGAATTTTCCAGTTTATTGTGTTCCACATAGTCAAAGGCTTTAGTATAGTCAATAAAACAGAAATAGATGTTTTTCTGGAACTCTTGCTTTTTTTATAATAACAATTATTACTATTAATTTATTTTAACATTAAAATTACAGAGAGGCATGGCGTGCTGCAGTTCATGGAGCTGCAAAGAGTCAGACATGACTGAGCAACTGAACTGAACTGAACTGAAAATTAAAATAGCAGTTTCTTCTGATCTAGTGGAGGAACCAAGCAAGACAGCAGGTCATTGGTACACTGTAATACATACCATAATAAGGAGAAAGAGAAGAGGCCTTAATCTCATGTGACTCTATTCATCAAACTAGATGAGTAATATGTTTACACATAAGGAAATAGTGAAACATTCCCAATGGTAGCCAGTGAATAAACAGAAGAACTAGAAACTACACTTGAGAAATTTATAGCCTATTAAGATAATATTCTATGTCTGTATTTGATTGAAATGAGCTCACATTTAAAATGAAATTAAACCACTGCAAACAAAAAAAAAGAAGTAAAGAAAATGTTTTGATAAATGTGTGAGTTCCTCTTATTTCAGACTTTTCCAGAAGTCAGTGGTTTTGAGGTACATCCATTGGTAAAATACTCATCACAGGCATTGCTTGGGTAGTATGGCATTTGAACATGGCAAGCATCGCCCTTCGAAACCTATAATACAAAAGGGAAAATCTGGCATTATCCCATGATGACTTGGAATGTTTAAAGAACTTTCCAATATATCTAAGATGCCACTACTGCCAATTAGCATCTCCAAATATATTTCTGCTTCCAACTTTAACATATCCTACAGAAACCCTTTATAAATGTATTATAAAGTATACAGTACAATTAAAGACCAATTTTGCACCATTGACTGTAAACACTGAAGACATTTATTCAAAATCAATAACTATGTCTAAGATGACACTTCTAATGTCAGTTGCAAGGAATCATTTACTTGAACTAAGGATTGGTATTTCAGACATTTGTTCTAATGAGCAAAGGCCAGTTTAATGCCTGACCTTTCCAAAAGAACTACCAATAGACTCTAAATTTAAGATGTGTTCTTTATTCTTCTTATGTGGTCTGTTTGATCTTAAAAGTTTTTATGTTTCTTCATCTACTTGTGGCTCAAGTTGCTTTCCCAAACATGTTCATAAATATATAAGCTTAACAGAAGCAGCACTGGCAATCCATAATCAAATTATCAGTACTTCACATCTACTGAGACTTTCTGGTCAAATATTTAAGCAAGGTAGATTGGTTCAATCCACCTTTAAGCAGTTACAGGAAATGAAGTAGTCTAAGCTGCCCCACCCAGAGGCTCAAGGGTAAAGAAACTGTCTGCAATGCAAGAGACTCAGCAGGAGCCTCAGGTTCAATCCCTGGGTCAGGAAGATCCCCTGGAGAAGGAAACGGCAACCCACTGCAGTATTCTGGTCTGGAAATCCCATGGATAGCCCATGGAGTCGCAAAAGGGTCAGACACGACTTAGCGATTAAACAACAAAAGCTGCACTGAGGAGGCAGGAAAGAAATCCTTGCTCAGAGGCTCAACAAAAGGGGAAAAGGAAGATTCTCCATTATCCTCGGTGACTACACAATCCTGAAGCCTGTTATGGTAACAATGAATTTTTCTCTTGCAGCTGAATGATATGTCTTCCTTCTAGTAAATATACAGTTATGCTACCCGTGTAGGGAAGCCAACTAGCCTTGCTTTGTCCACTTTCCATTAATAGAATCACTCTTTTCTTTGCAAAATTGATTACATATATTTTGAATAGGGTAACCACAGGAACCAAGCTGAGCTCACTAACAATCTTCCAGGGTCATTGCTGCCAGAGGGCCATCAAAGATGAAACTTGCATTTGGGGATGCTTAGCTGGTGGAACTTGGTCTTGAATCACCCATGATCATCTCACCTCCATGTGGGAAGAGTCTGTCAAGAACTGGAGTCCTAGACATTTCAGGTCCTGAATGCTTCTGCAGTTGCATGAACCAAATAACTCTTAATTTCATCTGAAGTGAATTTCTGTCATTTACCTCCCCCCAAAATTTAGAACATTATCCATTGCCTTTCTAACATTCTTTACTCTGTATATACTTTTCTTTTTTTAGTTGAGAAGCATTTTAGACATGACTTACTTTTTATTAGCAATCACATAAATACAAGGATTGTAGAATGTAGAAGATTTTGCAAACAGAGGAGCTATGATGGCCATTAAGGGAGGAATCTTCTTTGGGTCACCAAAAGATGCCCATAAGCACACGATGGAATAAGGGGACCATGCCACCAGAAACATGAGTATCATTATCACAGACATCTGTAAAAGAAATCAGTATTCACTAAGCCCAATAACTAAAATATCAAAATAGCTAGTATATCTAAAACTGCATGAAAAATTATCTGGATTGGAACTTGAATAAGTTTATGATGTTGAAGACAGAGGAAACACTGAAATTTTCCCCTCACTGTACTCTGCTAATGTACCTAAAGTCAGCTATGATAACTGGAGCTTGTGAAATGGGTGGACTGGTTCATGAATGTAAAGAATGCCCTCTTTCTGTTGGTGACCTGAGGAGAATACAGCTGGATTTACCTTTTTTGGGTTTCTGAGCTTTTCAGTGCTTGCTTAAATTTTACAACCCAGGCTTGAGCATCTCCTCACCCAATCTCAGCTCTGGACATGGTTGAGGAAATCTCTCAGAAAGTAGAAACCAAGACAAACAAACAAAACCCCAAAGAGAGACAATGTAGGAGAGAATATTTAAGAAAATTAAAAGATAAGTCCAGGAGATTAAATACCCAAATAAAAAGAGTTCCAGGAAAAGAGAATAGAGAAAACAAAAAGGGAAGTGAAATTCACGAGAGAAATAATGCAAGGAAGCTCCCAGAAGGGGAGATCTGAGTCTCAACATTGAAAGCACTCACCCAGTATCCAGCACATGGGTGAATAAAGAGCTATACCAAGGCACATCAGCATCACATCTCAGAGAGAAAACTGGAGACACAGAGAAAATCACAAGCTTCCAGAGAGAACACAGACCACCAGTAAACTGTCAGTTTCCTCAACAGCAACACCTAAAACTGAGAGACTATATAGTAATGCTTTCAAAAATCTCTGAAAGTCATTTTTCTACTTTGAATTCTATGCCAAGTAAACAATCAATCAAACAGAATAAGAGCATTAAGACATTTTCAGGCATGCCAAATCTTAAAAATTTTACTTCCATATAACATTCTCAGGACTCTGTCAAGGGATGTGTTCCACCAACTGTGAGAAAATCAACCAAAAAAAAAACAAAACAAAACAAAAAGGAAAACATGCAATCCAGAAAACAGGTGATCTGATCCAGGAGACAGGCCAAAGGCATTCTCAGCTTATGATAAAGGAGATGTGGGGACACTGGCTTTCAGGTAGTCATCTTAAAGAGGAGCCAATGTAATCTGGAGCAAGAGATCTGGGGGTGCCAGGAGGATAACTAAGAAAAGGGTAAAGTCAGGTTAGTCTCCGATGCCTATGCAAATGCTAAGAGGAAACCGCGGCTTCTGATGGGTCAGAGATGGATCAGGGACAGGCACCCGAGGCAGTCAGGGTCCCCCGGTGGCTCACAGTGTAAAGCGTCTGCCTGCAGCGCAGGAGACCCAGGTTCAGTCCCCGGGTCGGGAAGATCACCCTGGAGAAGGAAATGGTTACCGACTCCAGTATTCTTGCCTGGAGAATTCCATGGACAGAGGAGGCTGGTGGGCTACAGTCCACAGGGTCACAAAGAGTTGGACACAACTGAGTGAGTAACGCTTCCACTTTTCAAAATCACTTCATTTTCACACAGAACAGTCAGGAAACAAAGCTACAGAGAGATGGGGTGTGGAGGGGGAGGAGAGGGGGAGAGAAGAAGAGAAGGGGAGAGAGATGGACAGAAGACAAAAAAAAAAAAAGGTATAAACTGTTAACTCCAAAGGGGGAACAGTTGTATAAAAAAAAAGAAATATAAATCATACAGCCCTACAGAGATCTGCAATAAATGAAATTTAGATAATCACAATAATGTAAAATTGACTCTTCATCTAGCCAAATATTAACGTTTTATTGACAAGATGAGAGAGAGATGTTGGTGGGGAGAAGGAAAAGATGGTGCTATAAGAGAAACTGTCTCTTTCCATAGTAGGAAATCAAGAAGTAGCAGCAAACAAAAATACCTGAAATAGCAGATAAGCATATTGTTTAGAAATACGGAGGCCAACATTAGAAAAAAGAGCCAGAAAATAAGACCTGGGAGTTAGGGAGAGATGACTACAGGGCCAAGGAACCATGTCCAGCATTTTAAGGATTTTAATGCCTTACCTTTGTTACATCTACCTGATCTGACCAATCTCTGTTGAGGTACTCAGTGCAGTTATTAGTACCATGATGTTTAATGGATTGAGTGACATGGTAATAACAGTAAAACATCACTGTCAAGGGCATGATAAAATTTATCACAACTACCATCATGGTGTAAGAAACAAAAGACCTGAAAGTAAGAAAAGGAAATAATTAAATCATGACATTAAATCAGTACTCATCTAATGTATTAAATAGGGGAAGGGAACCAGAATAATTACCAGAAGTAATATTGGCATCGTCTAGTATTAGTAAACAGCTTAGGAGGTACATTTGACTTTTAGTTCATTCGGACTAGGGGTTGGCAAACTATGACTTGTGGGCAAATCCAGCCTGTCTCCTATTTTTGTAAATAAAATTTTATTGGAACCACATTCATTTCCTTACTGTCTATGGCTGCTTCCAAAGGCAGAGTTGAATAGTTGCAATGGAGATAGCCTTGCCTGTAAAGTCTAAAATACTTATTTTTTGACTCTGTACAGAAAAATGTTTAGACTTAGATATAGTTTGAGAGAAATTTTCTGTTTACTTTTCTGAGTAATCTTTCACTTCCTTTAATGAACTAAATTACCTTCTTTTCCTTAGTAAACATAGAAGAGCATCACTGATGAGTAAGCAATCCTTGCAGTGACTGCGCTTCTGCTGTGTAATTCTCAGAAGATGCTTTATCACCAGAAAAGAAAGCCTGGGCTTTCCCCAGAACCGCACACTTTCTAGCTCCACCAACAGTCCTTGTCCCCTCAGGTCCCACCTCTAAGGTGCGGCTAGCAGAAGGATGCTCTGTATCCCCTTTGCTGCCAAAGGATAGAAAGGAGGGAACAGAGCAGGGAGACAAAGGGATGCCCTGTCCTTGCAATTTAACATAATTCATCTTTCTCAATTTGTCTCTAGGCAGAATCACATCATCTAAACCAAGGAAACCCTTTGCCACACTCTATATGAGAAACATTAGATCTGAGGTTAAATTTGAAATGGTGAAAACATGTATGCATTAGAAGCATTTAATTATAAACTATATATACATTTCTTACACATCATTTTTCCGCCAGTTTATGGTACAGGTGGCCCCAGTAGGATCTGGGGCATAACTAGCCCACCCGATGATAGGCATCAAAGCCCAAAACAGGCCATTGGTCCAGGCCCCCAGAATCATGCTTACGTAAGTGTTAGTGGTCATTCTTCTTCCTATTAACAAATAGATGGAATATTAAATCATTTCCCAATGATGTAATTCACATCTTTATCTTGTTTTAACTGATTATTCAAAATTATCACCAAGTAGATTCTTTACAGAGCACTTTAGTTCACACAAAACCTATGAATTCATATTCTGGAAAAAAATAACATTTAAGCTGAAACTTGAATGATAAAATGATGAATCAGAGGAGAGGCAGGGAGAAACACTAGGAAATAGCATTTGCAAAGACCCCAAATTGGGAAAGGGTTTCACCAGAACCCCAAAGTGACAAGATCCCAGGATATGCTGCAAAGGTAGTCAGAGGTCAGAGACACATAGGGTCTTGGAGGCCGTGTTATGAAATTTGAATTTTATTCTAGGTATAATAGAAAACCACTGAAATTTCCGATCAAGGATTATCAGAGAAAGAAAGCTGACCATGTCGCAAGTCATTACATTTATTAATACATTTTGAAGTGAATGTGTGACAAGCAGAACTTAGGCAAATGGGTTCATTGAAAAAGCTGAGAAAAGTGCTGTACCTGCATCAGGATGGCAGATGGTCAGGTATCGATCCACAGCCACGACCGTGAGCAATCCAATACTTGCCATTCCAAAAAAAATATTCAACCCAGCATAAATCTGAAAATCAAAATTGGAACGATTCCACCATTCTACACACCCTCCCAAGAGACATTTATATGTTTATCCCATTGCTAAAATATATTTTAAATACATTAAACAGTAAATAAATACATTGAGTGTTTTCTATTTTGTGTGTGTGTTCAGTTGCTCAGTCGTGTCCAATTCTTTGTATCCTGACTCCTCTGTCCATGGGATTTCACAGGCAAGAGTGCTAGAGCGGGTTCCATTTCCTCCTCCAGGGAATCTTCACAACCCAGGGATTGCACCTGCGTTTCCTGCACTGCAGGCAGATTCTTTACCATGGAGCCACCAGGGAAGCCCCATTTTCTATTTTACTAATGTTAAAATATATCTGCTGCTGCTGCTAAGTCACTTCAGTCGTGTCCGACACTGTGTGACCCCATAGATGGCAGCCCACCAGGCTCCCCCATCCCTGGGATTCTCCAGGCAAGAATACTGGAGTGGGTTGCCATTTCCTTCTCCAATGCATGAAAGTGAAAAGTGAAAGTGAAGTCGTTCAGTCGTGTCCAACTCTTAGCGACCCCATTGACTGCAGCCTACCAGGCTCCTTTGTCCATGGGATTTTCCAGGCAAGAGTACTGGAGTGGGGTGCCATTGCCTTCTCCTAAAATACATCATCTATTGTCAAATTGTAAGTGGTTTAATAAAGGTACTTATAGAAAACATTCTGGGACTTCATTAATTAAAATAAGCTTTTTTTAAAAAGCTAAGACTTAAAATAAAACTTGTATACATACTCTACAGAGGGCAGAAACAAATCATAAGTCAAGAGCAGCACATAAACCAACAAAAGCCTGGTATTCAGAAGACAGACAATTCACTAAGGGGGAAAGACAGACAGAACAAAGGGCTACTCACACAAGGGGAAACCAGAGCATCTATGACATAAGGTGTACAAGCACACCAAATATTGAAAGAAATGCAACTCATAAGATACTATTTCACATCCATCATTAACACTACAAATTTAAAAGTCGGACCATCCCAAGCACTGGCGAAAATGTGGAGCAACAGAAGTTCTCATAATTGGCCACAACCATTTTGAAGAATAATTTGGCCACACCTGATAAAGTTGAAGTTGTGCTATCCACAACCAAACCATTCCTCTTCTAGTAATGTATCTAAAGAAACTCTCATATACTGCAGAAAGAGACATGTATGAGAACATTTACTGAAGCCTTGTTTGTGATTTTAAAAAATTGGGAACAGAATTCCCTAGAGGTCCAGTGGTTAGGACTCTGCACTTTCACTGCCAGGGCCTGGGTTCCATCCCTGGTTGGGGAACTAAGATCCTACAAGCCCTGAAGCACAACCAAAAACAAAAAGCAAGAAACCCCAAACAACCTGAAGGTCATATTGCGAAACATCAAGATTTAACAAAACCTATTGATGCATAAATGGGTATTCACTATTCTCTACCATTTCCATTTTATTCTCTATAGCTATATAGCTTAAAACAGCAAACAGTTCTAAAAAACTGGGCCAAAAGTCATTACTGCAAACTATATTAATTTATTTTGTCAGTAAAAATTATAGTAGATATATTCACCAGCAATTCTCATAACGAACTTACCATACCACAGGAAAAAATCAACAACTTGTAGTTTAACTATATTACTTAGACATTATGATATAGTCATTAAATATTTTATTGTTTCAAATGAAAGCAGAGTATTTCTTTTGGAATTTGCAATATGCAAGTTTTTATTTGGATATGCAAATGTTCACTTTTCTTCTCTAGCTGATTTCTAATTTTTTGCTAGTTTAATTTTTTCCCTTAGGTTGGGGAAATTTTGAAAATATGATGATGGCTACTGCTTTCATTTCTCTTATTAAAGAATATATTTCCCAGTTGCTCCTGAAGCTGTTTTCAATAAGAGCACCATATCTATTATGCTACATAAAACTATTTGATTTTGTAAAGACACTTAAACTTACAAGTTCTTAATCTAGTTCGTTTTGCTTTGATTCTAAGGATCTCTGATACCTGACATCCTGCATATCCAAATTTCCAGCTTCCATGCAGATCTGAAGCAGCAGACATGGGGTAGCCAATGCTACTGACCCCTATATCGGTAACAGCCAGGTTGATGATTATTGCATTTGTGGGTGTCCGAAGTTCCTTGAACTTAATGAAGATGCCTAGAACGATTATGTTGCTGAGAATACTTATCATACCTGAGAACATAAAGAAAAAATCACACACTTTGCTTAATTTGAATGTGCAAAAGTAAAATAGAAATTAAATATTTAAATTCCGTCAGAAACAAAGCAAATTCACAAATTGGTTTTGGTTCATTTACAGGAAGAGCTCCAGCTATTCTTCAAACTCGTTGCAATATTTTCACAGCCCTCTTGTGAAATAGAAATATAAAAATCAAAACACAAAGAATCTGCCACTTGTATAAACCAGCACCAAAGGCCGGCATTTAATGGTATCACTATTGCTCACTCTGTCCTTGAAGTGACTCCCATGAAACCACCAATGCTGATTTTAGGATACAGATATTAATATATATACGTGTGTGTGTGTGTGACCATATAGTCTCCTTTGGCAGCTTAATTTCCTCTCCTCCTTCTTAAAGATGGAGGCTCTTCTTTCTCTACTGTTTCTCAGGCATCAGCTATCATTCTATCCTAACAGCACTTCTGTCATTTTCTATTCCTGAAATACGCTCCAGTCCCTCATCCCTTTTCATACAACTCATTGCCATTAAACATTTATTAAGCATCTACAGTATGTAAGATCATATGACTGTTTCAATATTACTTAAAATGTAACATGTTCAAATCTGATTACACACACACATACACGTACATCCCTAAATAAGAACGCACACAAGGTTTACCTAGCTAGAGAGGAAGTCAAGCTGTCTCTCGGATCCACTGAGAAAGCTCACAGGCCACATCGCCCTGGTGAAGTTTCCAGTTTGGGATCTGACTCTTAGCCCTGCAGGTCCAGAGACTCAAGGTTGTCAGTGCCCCAGAATTGGCTGGATTCGGGTAGACTGATGACTGAAATTCTTAATCTGAATGCCAATGTATTAATTTACAATGAGAAATACTGTTGAGTAGACTGAACGTGAATGTTGGCCTGCTTAACACCCCCATCTGATGAATAAATTTCCCATCAGCCAGATATAAGCCATACTAGGTCCCAACAACTGAGAGAGGGTAGAGCCATTACCAGACTCCAAGGGGCTAAAGTGGGGGGTAAAGGACAAAAGGAACAGAGGGTGTTCACCATCATGAAGAGAACTCTGGTGAGCAGACCCAGCTATTGCCAGAGAGAGGGAAGATTTCCAAGTACCCACACACAGAGGTATCAGCTAAGGAAGAACTTCTAATGTACTTGGCACCTTGGTCAAAACTTCCATTCAACATTGTTATACTAATCTTCCAGGTTCTTTCTTTTCCTCTTGCATGCTGCTGGCAGAACAAGCTTGCTACAACATAGAATTAACCAAGACTCTTCTCAGTTTACTCACCAATGTCTGTGGGATAAAAGTTCACATGTCTCAGCCTGATACCCAGGTCTCTGCTTCGAACTGTTTTTACCTTCTCTAAGCAAATGTTCACACTTGTCAAATAAGCCCTCCATCTAGTTATCTATCAGATACACCAGGCATGTGGTAAATTTCAACTCTCATTTCTCCCATTTGGAACACTCTACTCCTTTACCTATCCAAATTCTACCCACCCTTCAAAATTCTGTTCAAGCCTGATTCTGCCCTCAAAGGCGTGTCTTCCTCATAGTATCCTCTCACCACTAATAAATTTTCAAAGTATTTGTCTATATTATACTTCATCTTATGTGATGCTATATTATTCAACTCATATATTCCTAATCTTCCTGTGTAAACTACAGGCTTCTAATACTTCTATGTTGAGTATGTGACATATAGCAGATTTATTTAATAAACAGACAACTAAAACTCATATTGCTTAATATCTATTATTTCTGCAAGCATAACTAAGACACAATGGTATCCAATTTGATGATTCTTTGGCTCATTATTTTTGCATCCAGTATTGTAGCTCCAAAAAGTTTAGTGAACTGAAGAATCTTTCTGGTTAGTTACAGATTTGCTGATTTTTTCAAAAGTCAGATAAAAACACAGTGTAGTAAATTTGTTGCCTACCAAGTATGCAACCAGAATAAAGTAATTGTACTTATGGGGTAGTTTTAGATATAATGGGGGGAATGAGGTAAACAGGTTAGTCCTTTTCTTTATTTTCTCTGAAGCTGTCTCAAGCACTCTGCTCTGTTTCCGAGCTGTGAAAGTGTTAGCTGCTCAGTCATGTCTGACTCTTTGAGACCCCATGGACTATAGCCCACCAAGCTCCTCTCTTCATGGGATTCTCCAGGCAGGAATACTGGAGTGGGTAGCCATTCCCTTCCCCAGGGGAATCTTCCTGACGCAGGGATCGAACCCACATCTCCTGCACTGCAGGCGGACTCTTTACTGACTGAGCGACCATGGGAACCCATGTTTTCTAATGAGTCGACAACAGATTATTTAGTAGTTAGGTCTAAGTTCACCTAACTTAGGGACTTCCCTGGTGGCTCAGAGGTAAAGAACCTGCCTGCAATACAGGAGACGGGTTTGATCCCTGGGTTGGGAAGATTCCCTGGAGAAGGGCATGGCAGCCCACTCCAGTGTTCTTGCCTGAAGAACTCCATTGACAGAGCACCCTAGTGGGCTACAGCCCGCGGGTTGCAAACAGTCCGACACGACTGAGCGATTAGCACACTGTCACTTAGCTTCCCTTTGGCTTCTGTGGCTCTTCTCCAAGCTCCTCGGGAGATCCTTCTCAGCCTACTTCCTGGTCCTTCTTTCTTCATCTCTACCTTATTAAACATACACACTGCCCAAGTTTCTGTCCTACACCTCTTTCTTTACGCATTCAACATACACTCGGTGATTTCAGAGTCAAGGCTACATGCTGATACTTTCCAGATCAATCTCACAAAATTCAAACCCATGCGCCCAGCTTTTTATGGGACTTCTCTCAAACTAAACCCAGAGATTTTCATTTCTGCCCCAGACATGTTCTTCTCCAGGTATGAATAGCTTCACCATTTATCCAGTGTCCAAAAAATGAAACATAGTTGTCATCTTTGATGCTCCCTCACCTTCTCCCGCAGTCTCCACCTCCAACCACCATGGACTCTAAATTCTAGCTCTTTCTATCACCATTGCCACTACTTCTTCCTCAGAAGCCTTCTTAACCTTTACCATACCTCCTACCTAGGGTGCCTCTACCTGGCCTGTTAGCTACCATTACAGCATGTATCTAAAATGCATGTTGGATCATGTCGTTTAGTGGCCCCCTACTGCCTTCACAGCTTAGGCTCTTCATTAGCTGCTTTGCAGTCATCCTCTCAGCCTATTACCTCTCAGCCTTTATCCTATAATGCACTCATAATGAATCTATTTCAGATCCTTAATTCACCATGCCCTCTAACCCCCAGCATCAACTGGAAAAAGGGAGAGCTTAAGTTGGTAAAAGTTTGTAACAGCTGAAATCCAAAGAGAACTATTAAATTAAAAACGAAATTCAAAATGAAAAATAGGCTTTTTGTAACAGTAGCAAATGAAATAAATGCTTTGACTAAATTTTTTTCCTCATAGTTTTGGTTTAATTGAGTTTTGTTAAAGGTAGAGGTTTGGGAGCCCAAAGAACAACAAACATTTAAACAAAAGCATAATGAGGTTAAGATATGCTTACTTCAGTTCACCTGCTAAAAATACAACATATACACATTAAAACTGATCCTCGTGATTTTACATGAGAGTTCTAGAGCCAAAGAACCTGAGTTCAATACTGGTGTAGCTACTTAGAGATGTGTGTGTTGGGAAAGTTACTTAAAATCTATCAGTATAAACGGAGAAAATAAAACGAATTCACTTACTGAATTAGTTCAAGGATGAATTATTCCGTACAGGTAAGTGCTTATAGCAGTGCTTGGTATATACCAAGCATTCCCACTAGTGGTAGTGGTAATGGTGGCTGCAGTAGTGGCAACAGTAGTAGCAGAGTCATCATTGTCATAGTAAGACTACTATTACTGTTGTTGTTGTTACAGGGATAAGAACGAGAGAGAACATTTTCTTAACCGGAAATTTTCTTTGCATGCTTCTTTTGTAACCAGATTAAAAAAGATAGCTTTTCTTGGTCATCTACCAAAAACTAACTAAACCAAAAGTTTGTATACAAAGTATTCCTATGTAGTTTTGACAAGGAGATTATCTCATTAAGTAGCATATTGTTTTCTCCTTTTTGTTGCAACACTGAAAAAAAAAGAAAACAGAACTCACCCAGGGCTTATCATACAGAGGTATTCAAATGAAAGAGTTATTAGCATGTACTAAAATTTACGAAAATTAACTGAGGAACCAGTTTCTAGCAGAGAAGCGATACTGTAATTGTGAATAATGGGGAAATTAAGCAACTCTAAAGAATAAACTGGGTATAGCAGGATTTGCTATGCTTTTACTCTACTTTTGAATATACTTGAAATTTTTCATAAGTCAATCCAAAAAGTAATAAAAAAGTTACTTCTAAAATTCATTAGTATTTGTCCAACATATACTGTATATATCATTTAGGTATGTCTGTGCATTTTTTTTTTTTTTACTTTTCACAACAATCCCAGCTGTTAGCTTATTCTTATCCCCATTTTATAGATATGAAAATGGAAGAACAAAAAGATAAAGGAACCTGCCCACTGCTACAAAGAGACTAAAAAATGAAAACCAAATTTCAGTTTTCCAATACAGCATTCAAAAATGAGCTCAATCGTCAAACTCAGTCCTCAATGATCACAGTCTGCTCTCTTTACAACTAATTTTTCCAGGATCTTTCAATCTGAACTAGATTCCACCACTGATGACAAAACTACAGAAAGTATGTATGAGAATAGTAAATGCCATAAAAATATATTTTTGCCACAGTGCACATTCTCCCCCGATAAAAATTCATTTGACAATATAATAACCAAACATACAGATGACTGTTTTCTAGAAAACTTTTCTCAGCCCCATCTCGCTATCAAAATTCAAAATAACTTGTTACATTAACCACCATTAACAACATTTCCATTTATCCTTTCACCTACATTTTCTTATTTGATCTTTACAGCCAGGAAGAAGAGCAAGTATTATCCTTATTTATCACATGAGCACAACAACTGAGAAAGGATAAGTGACTTGTCCAGGTTGGCCAACAGTACAGAACTTGAAACAGTATCTCTGAACCCATGCTGCTTCTACTACCTTATGCTAAAAACCTCAGCTTTTCTTCACTCATTCAAAAGCAAAATAACCATTAATGGAGTGAACATCCATACCTGCGGTAATCAAGTAAGCTGCAACAATGCTGTGTTCAGTCTGTGAAAAGACAGAGCCATTTTCATTTTTAAAGTCTGAGCTGTTGGCTAAATTATTCCTTAGCATTTTGGAGTGAAGATATTGAGACATCCTTTATAATGAGCTTTGAATATCTACGAAATGTTTCAAAAGCCAGTGAGAGAAAAATTTTCAGAACCAATCATTTCCATTTCCACTTAAAGACCTCAAAGAAGGGCCTTTTCATAGAGGCTCTCCTTTAACAAATCTAACTGGGCTAAAGAAGAAAGGATTTTAATCCCCAGAAGAAGGGAAAAGCTTACTAGCAAAATAAAGGGAAATACCAAACAACATACATTTTAACCAATTTGGGCATCAGCTTTATATCCAAGGAGATTATCAAGTGCACACATCCCATTTAAACAATAAACAAACTCAGAAAATTAGATCAGAACGTGAATTAACTAATTTCTGCTGGAAATTAAGAGTCACCATTAGTCCTCTACAACTACACAGGGTAAGGTGACTATTTTCTGTTGATTTTCAAGTTTCCATTTCAGATCCTTTTGGTTGTTCACAACAATTTAAATCATTAGAGATAAAGAAGTAATCTCCCTCCTACCTTCCAAATTTTACTCTCCTGATGATAATAATAGTTTTGTGTATATTCTTTTTCTTTGCTTATAGAAACATTTATTTATAGAACTATTTGAGGTTTCCTCCACTTTTTTCCCCCATTCTTTTCAAAAACTGGCGAGTTACATATATACAAACTAATTCTGCAATTTGTTTTCCCCTAAAGCTATACCATAAATTCCAGGTCAAGAAACCTAAATCTATGTTATTAATAACTATATATTTCAAAGCACAGATATAGCATGATCTACTTCATAATCCACCTCAGTTCATTTACCCTACATTTTGATATGCACCAGTTGTTATCTGGTTAATAATCATAGCATACACCAGCAAAGCATCTAGAGTGAACAATTCATCTCATAAACTTACAGAGCATTTCTAATATTCTGGATTATCTTAACTCCAAAAGTGTGTTACATAAGTGGATGATAATCTAATAGGAACATTTATTGTTAGAATAAGATATCCCTACCATATTTTCTGTTTGTAATTTTTATGCCAGATATTATAAAAATCTGATTTTACTCAATAGTGAAATTCCTAAAAATCAATATCTTTAGAAAAATGATAGACACACAAAAGTTAACAGTGTAAGTATATAACAGAACCACTAGAGGGCTATATTTACTTACTTAATTCTATAATCTTAGCATGGCCCACAGGAAGGGGACACAACATAATCCTTTTGCCTCAATTTTCAGCTATATTCTTGAATAAACTGAAGAAGTTGAAACCAGGTGGGTTCATCTGTCCCAGATCTTACAACTATTAGTATTCAAATTTTTATGACACATATAGTGATACTGTGAACACCATACTAGAAAAGTGAATCTCATTAGTTTTCCAATATCAAAATATTTTCAAACAACCCTAAAGCAATGAACGTTTAATCCTAAAATGACCTATTTAAAAAACCATGGGTTATTAGGTTTCAAGTCTTCCTCTTTCTTGTTTTTTTTTATTTTTGCAATCACTATTCACTCAAAACGTTTTGAGTTTGCTTTTGTTCATAGTCCTTATCTTTTCTGTAAAGGATTATGCCTAGTTAATTGTACCACCCATTTAAATTTTCCAGAAATAATTAGCTCTACTTATAAAAACTGAAGAAAAATAATTCCAAAGATGACTATTTGCTATTGATAAAAGTTTTACAGATTATGAGTGTGATAGGTACATTCTAAATAATTTTTTATGCTTCCTTCATAAGTCACATGGAAAAACTATATTGTGATGAGGCTTAGAATACTAAGAAATATAACTATAAGCATGTCAAGTTGACACAGCTCATGATTCTTCAATTTTATAAACTTTAACTGGCCTGAAATCAGTCCTCCTTTCATAACTCTTCCCAAATGCTCAGGGATACCAGTTAATATTGCTTGTATTCCACTAAACCTTTTCATTGCTATGGCAACAAGTACATTTTAGCATGATGCAAGCACTCAGAAAGTTATTCAGCTAACAAGTCAAAAGATTTAATATATCAATAACTATTAAAGTATCTTTTTACAATGGAACTCAGTGATATCACAATACAAAATGTATCAGTTAGGTTCCCAAAACATATGAACTAGATTCAAAACCAGATGCCCTAGAAACTTCCCCAGCAGTCCAGGGGGTACAGATTCAATCCCTGGTCAGGGAACTAAGATCCCACATGCCATTCAGAGAGGCCACAAAAAAAAAAAAAAAAAAGAAAACTAATATACCAAAGGAAAGTCAGGAAGAACTACTATAAAGGAAAAAAAATAGGATGTGGAAATAAAAGTTTAAAGATGGCTAATGCCTAACGCACTGGTCATAGCAAACACCCTCTTCCAACAACACAAGAGACAACTCTGCACATAGACATCACCAGATAAGTCAATACAGAAATCAGACTGATTATATTCTCTGCAGCCAAAGATGGAGAAGCTCTATACAGTCAGCAAAACCAAGACCGGGAGCTAACTGTGGCTCAGATCATGAACTCCTTACTGCAAAATTCAGATTTAAATTGAAGAAAGTAGGGAAAACCACTAGATCATTCAGGCATGACCTAAATCGAATCCCTTACAATTATACAGTGGAAGTGACAAATAGATACAAGGGATTAGATCTCATAGACAGAGTGCCTGAAGAACTATGAAGGGAGGTTCTTGACATTATATAGGAGGCGGTGATCAAAACCATCCCCAAGAAAAAGAAATGCAAAAAGGTTGTCTGAGGAGGCCTTACAAATAGCTGAGAAAAGAAGAGAAGCGAAAGGCAAAAGAGAAAAAGAAAGATATACCCATCTCAATGCAGAGTTCCAAAGAATAGCAAGGAGAGATAGGGAAACCTGCTTCAGTGATCACTGCAAAGAGAGGAAAACAATAGAAAGGGAGACTAGGGAGCTCTTCAAGAAAATTAGAGATACCAAGAGAACATTTCATGGAAAGATGGGCACAATAAAGGACAGAAATGATATGGACCTAACAGAACAGAAGATATTAAGAAGAGGTGGCAAGAATACACAGAACTATATAAAAAAGGTCTTAATGGTCCAGATAACCACGATGGTGTGATCATTCATCTAGAGCCAGATATCCTGGAATGCGAAGTCAAGTGGGCCTTACGAAGCATGACTACGAACAAAGTTACTGGAGGTGATGGAATTCCAGCTGAGCTATTTCAATTCCTGTAAGATGATGCTGTGAAAGTGCTGCGCTCAATACGCCAGCAAATGTGGAAAACTTAGCAGTGGCCACGGGACTGGAAAAGGTCAGTTTTCATTCGAATCCCAAAAAAATGCTCAAAACACTGCACAACTGCAACTCGTTTCACATGCTGGCAAATGCTCAAAATTCTCCAAGCCAGGCTTCAACAGTACATGAACCGAGAACTTCCAGATGTTCAAGCTGGATTTAGAAAAGGCAGAGGAACCAGAGATCAAACTGCCAACATCCGTTGGATCATAGAAAAAGCAAAAAAATTCCAGAAAAAAAATATACTTCTGCTTTATTGACTATGCCAAAACCTTTGACTGTGTGGATCACAACGAACTGTGGAAAATTCTTCAAGAAACAGAATACCAGACCACCTTACCTGCCTCCTGCAAAGTCTGTATGCACGTCAAGACGCAACAGTTAGGACCGGACGTGGAACAACAGACTGGTTCCAAATTGGGAAAGGAGTATGCCAAGGCTTTATACTGTCACCCTGCTTATTTAACTTATACGCAGAGTACATCATGTGAAATGCCAGGCTGAAGCACAAAACAGAATCAAGATCACCGGGAGAAATATCAATAACCTCGGATATGCAGATGATACCACCCTTATGAGAGAAAGCGAGAGGACCTAAAGAGACTCTTGAACAAAGTGAAAGAGGAGAAGTGAAAAAGCTGGCTTAAAACTTAACACTCAAAAAACTAAGAACATGGCGTCCGATCCCATCATTTCATGGTAAATAGATGGGGAAACAATGGAAACAGCGAGACTTGACTTTCTTGGGCTCCAAAATCACTGCAGATGGTGAATGCGGCCATGATATTCAAAGATGCTTGCTCCTTGGAAGAAAAGCTATGACCAATCTGGACAGCATATTAAAAAGCAGAGACATGACTTTGCCAACAAAGGTCCATCTAGTCAAAGCTATGGTTTTTCCAGTAGTCACGTATGGATGTGAGAGTTGAACTATAAAGAAAGTTGAACGGCAAAGAATTGATGCTTTTGAACCGTGGTGTTGGAGAAGACTCTTGAGAGCCCCTTGGACTGCAAGGAGATCCAACCAGTTCATCCTAAAGGAGATCAATCCTGACTGTTCATTGGAAGGACTGATGCTGAAGTTCCAACACTTTGGCCACTTGATGTGAAGAACTGATTCCTTAGAAAAGACACTGTTGCTGGAAAAGATTGAAGATGGGAGGTGAATGGGACAACAGAGGATGATATGGTGGGATGGCATCACCAACTCTACAGACATGAGTTTGAGCAAGCTCCAGGAGTTGGTGATGGACAGGGAAGCCTGGCGTGCTGCAGTCCATAGGGTCGCAAAGAGCTGGAGACAACTGAGTAACTGAACTGAGTGACTGAAATAGATACACCCAAGGTAAAAGGTGAAGAAAACCTCAAAAGTGGTTTGTCTACAACCTACACATTACTTCTACACAGCCATTTTAGACTTTTTTTTTAATGTTAAAAAAAAGTGTAGGAACTGTGTATTATTTGTCCTTAGGACAATACCATAGTCACTTTGGTGGTTGCTATGTCTTTTATAGAACAAGAGTAAAAACCCTGGCCCTAACTGAAAGTTTCAACCCAAGAATTCTAAATCAAACAGATTCCTTTCCCAAGTTGTAATAGCATAACTGCTTCTGTGAAAAATTTTCAACATTATTTGATCATCATATATACTTATGTTTTACATATTTATTAATCCTGCTACAATTCCATTAATCAAAAAGCATAAGGAAAACCCAAATATTGACTTAGGCAATACTATATGCTACTCAAATAAGCATTCAAGAGTTAACCAAGTATTAAGTAAAGCATGCTAGAAAACTGAAGAAATAACACAACAACTCATTCCTTCTAAGAATGAACCATGTTGGGGAGGGAGGGAGGGTGGGAATAAATGGCAGGGGAAATTATCCTATATCACAGTATTCTAACTTGTTAACATCTTGATACTATAACAGCATTGAGTACCACAACCAATTTCATTTGTAATGTCCCTATCCAAGAATATGAACATGTAGCAAGCGGTCAAATATTTATTTATGGTCAGTAAAACTTTAAACCTGGAGTCCCTTAAAAAAGGAAAATAAAAACATTCAGTGAAGCTTTCAATATTCCATCTATGTTGAATGAAAAAGTTAAATATTTCTTCAGAAATGTCTTGAATTTCTAGTTCTCAACCTGAACAGAGCTGTTCCAACTTTAATAGATTCATAATTGATAGTAAAACTTTCTAATCAATTATGAGTTACAATTAGAGAAGTTGTCTTACTTTGTGTCCTAACACACAAAAGGGAAAAAATATGATAAAGTGTGCTGATGTTCTCATATACAAAAGGCAAACATTTTAAAGGGAGTGTTAATTTATAAATAATGGGAGTACTGCTCTACTAGCCTGTTTTTTTTTAAAGCTCAGTTAGATATATAAACATCCTCTTTTTCTATCTGAAATCTATTGGGCTGTCCCTTTAAACTCTGGTTTAATAAACACAGCTCTAAATTACTTAAAGAAATAAAACACTTTATTTACAAAATTCAAATATGCTCCAAATGAAAGCTGTCCCTTTATTAAACACCCACAAAGTTCCGAACATTGTACAAAATGTTAAAACACTTATTCATACTCTTTTGAAGCAAAGTTTCCTGTTCTGCCGCACTCATTTTTGCATGACGTTGACATTTTAGCTCCACTTTTCTAAAATGACCAGTTCTTCAAAATTTGTTCAAGAAACAAGTTTCTGATCCACTGAAGTAAATTATGAGGTTAATGCAGAAGTCAACTGGTGAAGTTTCTGTCAACTGTTACACTTAATGTCCTCTTCCTGATAAGAAAAAATGAAAATATTAAAAATATAGAAAAGTGAACTTTAAATAACACTATTACCCAAAACTCAAGTTTAAAATCAGCATTAGTTCTGGTAAAGTTTAACAAACATACTTTACCAAATTTAACTATCATTTATATTACCACCTTTTTGCTTTTCAAATTAATAATACAGCAAAGTAAAGCAGAAACAGGTGAAAAAATTCAAAGGTAAAAGTGATATAAAATGAAACTGTATATTAGGCTAAAAAAAAGGAATACCATGGTGTTCTACATACTTGCTGGCAAAAAGATATAAAAGTTAGTAGACAATACTATTTCTAGAAATTCAGTTATTTCAAGTTTTTTTTTTCCCACTCACCTCTGAAACCACCACCCCCTCTTCCTCCTCTGAAACCTCCACCTCCTCTTCCACCTCTAAAACCACCTAAAAACAAAGGAAATATTCATTAAGTAACTGTAACCTATCACATTTTGGTAAGCCTATAAACATCAATATGTTTCTTACAATTATAAAGAATAGTATTAGGTTGTTACAAAAATCACTGCAGTTTCAGACCCTGAATTTTAAATTATAACTAGGATCAAGCACTTCCTTAATCAAAATAGGAAGCATTACAACCAACACCCTTTTGCCAACGAGAGATACATTTGTTTATTCCTATAACATAAAAACTCATGCCATGGGATTCAACGAACTCTTGGAGAGCATTTTCTGTATCCTTCTGGTTGCGGAAACTTCTTCCCTGCAAAAAGTTGTCAAGATGCTTGAAGAAGTTGTAGTCGTTTGGCAAGAGGTCAGATGAATTCAGCAAATGAGGCAAAATTTCACAGCCCAATTTGTTCAAGTTCTGAAGTGTTGGCTGTTTGACATTAGGTCAAGTATTGTCACAGGAAAGAATAGGGCCCATTCTATTGATATGGCTGCAGGCACTGCAGTTTTCGGTGCATCTCATCAATCTGCTGAGGATACTTCTCAGATGTAATGGTTTCACCAGGATTCAGAAAGCTGTAGTGGATCAGAAGACTGGCAGCAGACCACCAAACAGTGATCACGACCCTTTTTTTGGTGCAAGTTTGGCTTAGGGAAGTATTTTAGAGCCTCTTCTCAGTCCAACCACTGAGCTGGTCATCGCTGGCGTCATATAAAATCCAATTTTTGCTGCACATCACAATTCAATCAAGAAATGGCTCGTTGTTGTTACAGAGAATAAGAGAGGACGACACAGTGAAATTTTTTATTTGCAGTCAGCTCATGAGGCACCCTCTTGTCAACCTTTTTCACCTTTCCAATTTGCTTCATAGAATGGTCAATGGTAAGTTCTTAGGCAATTTCTCATGTAGTTTTAAGAGGATCAGCTTTAACGTGGTTCTCAACGGCTTGGAGTCACTTTCCGGTGGCCAGCCTCTGCACTCATCTTCAAGGCTCTCGTTTCCTTTGCAAAACTTCTTGAACCACCACTGCACTGTACGTTCGCTAGCAATTCCTGGGCCAAATGAGTTCTTGATGTTACAAGTTATCTCCACTGCTTTATGACCCATTTTGAACTCAAATAAGAAAACTGCTCAATTTTGCTTTTTTGTCTAACATCATTTCCATAGTCTAAAATACATATAAAATAAACAGCAAGTAATATGTCATTGTTGTTGTTGTTCAATCACTACATCGTGTCTGACTCTCTGTGACCCCATGAACTGCATGCAGCACACCAGGCTCCCCTGTCCTTCACTATCTCCCAGAGTTTTCTCAAAATGTCCATTGAGTCAGTGATGCCATCCAACCATTTCATCCTCTGTGGCCCCTTCTCCTCTTGCCTTCAATCTTTCCCAGCATCAGGGTCTTTTCCAATGAGTCAGCTCTTCACATCAGGGGGCCAAAATACTGGAGCTTCAACTTCAGCACCAGTTTTTCCAATGAATATTCAGGACTGATTTCCTTTAGAATTGACTGATTTCATCTCTTGCAGTTTCAAGTATTCTCAAGAGTCTTCTCAAGAGCACCGCAATTTAAAGCACCAGTTCTTTGACACTCAGCTTTCTTTATGGTCCAACTCTCACATTCATACATGACCACTGGAAAAACCACAGCTTTGACTAGACGGACTTTTGTCGGCAAAGTAACATCTCTGCTTTTTCAAACACTGTCTAGGTTTGTCACAGCTTTCCTTCCAAGGAGCAAGTGTCTTTTAATTTCGTGGCTGTAGTCACTGTCTGCGCTGATTTTGGAGCCCAAGAAAATGAAATCTGACACTGTTTCCACATTTTCCCCAACTATTTGTAATGAAGGGATAAGACCGGATGCCATGATCTTCATATTTTTATTGCTAATGTCATTAGCAAAAAATATAAAGCAAGAAATGTCCATTAAAATGAGGTATAATATAATCATATTTATTTAAGAATGTATTCTAATATCAAAGGGCAAAGTTCAACAATGCAAAACTGCAATTATTTCTGCACCAACCTAACATATATTCACATATTTTATCTCGCAGAATTTTTTAAAAGATAAAAATGGAGAAACAGTAATAGTTTCTCAAACCAACAGAAAGGTCAAATCCTAGGTTACAAGTTTTTAAACAAGTTTTAATACATTACAAAAGCGTGCTACTTTAAAGGTCAATTGAGCCCCATTGTTAAACGTCTGAGTACCTCGACTTTTGCTTAGGGTATACACTTAAACTGCACTAAGGCTTCTTAATCCTAAGAACAAAAAGTAGCAGACGTGGGTGGTTTGGTTCTGGGAGTACTACCATGCCTGCTAAGTTGCTCCAGTCATGTCCGACTCTTTGTGACCCAACGGACTGTAGCCCATCAGGCCCCTCTGGCTATCGAATTCTCCAGGCAAGAATACTGTAATGGGTTGGCATGCCCACCTCCAAGGGATCTTCCCAACCCGGGGATCGAACCCATGTCTCTTATGTCTCCTGTATTGGCAGGTGGATTCTTTACCACTAGCACCACCTGGGAAGTACCACGGATACAACATTTAAGATTAACTGAGCTGGAAACACACACACTGATGTTCACATGCTGACGAGCTTCGAAATTTAAAAATTTTAAATTATTTTTTCTATTACCCAACACATTTGGCTTCCTACTGCAGTCCCTACTTTTACTTATTTTGAGGGATAGCTTCACAAGGAATGGTGAAACATAAAAAGAGAAATAATAAAGAAATAAACACATATATCCAAAATACAATATAAAAAGATAAAGATTTTAAGAAAATAGAATTGTGAATTTTTAAAACTATATATATAAGACTGAACATAGAATGGGAATGAGGGCATCTCCATTCAAATTCTCAAAGGGATACTTCCAAAGAAATAAATATGTACATATCCCTTGAGACTATCTCCAAGTTACCTGGATCCCAAAAGGCACATTTACAGAGTGAACTGTTCATTAAATCGAGAGGCAAACGTGAAACCAGAATCCTCTTTCCTGATACAGTAACCCACTTGGCAGCTCCTCTTCCTTACCACTTTGCTCTGCCCATCATCCTGTCACCCACCTAGCACATCATTCCCAGATGCTGCATCCCAGCTCATCCCCAGCCTGGCTTATCACCTGGCTGCCTACACAATAAATGTACCAAAGCTGTGGGGAAATACAGAACATCAACATACTGAAATCAATGCAATGAATTTATTGGTGATAGTCTTTGACATGCCATCAGAAGATACTGGCTTTATTTCTGAGCCACCAATTGTTTGATCAGGACAAATTAACATTTCTAAGCTTACATTTCCTCAGCCATAAAATAAAGATATCACTCACCTTCACGAAGTTTTGCTAAATACTAATTAAAAAATTAAAATTCAATTAAGCTAATCCTATATGTTATAAAAAAATAAGCATAATTACTATGGTGATCTGCCAAGATTTGAAGAGAGACTAAGAGAAAGAAAGAACCACAAGGGAGGTGGGCTTATATTCAAAATTAAAGTGTGCTCTTTAAGCAGGCTGTGCCTCTGAAGTCCTTCAGGAACTCTCCTCCGTGGGGACTCACCGCCTCTGCCGCCCCTGCCGCCTCTGCCTCTTCCTCCTCCTTGACCTCCCCTGCCACCGCCTCTTGGAGGTCCCTTTTCACCAGGAGGCCGAGGTAGAAACCTCTGCAACGGCAGCAGCTTATATGGGTCTATATAGAACTGGAAGTGTGACAGAAACAATCAGTGTGATGAGCTGGGGGGTAACATAATATAATCATTAAGAACCGACACACTAGACTCAAAACTGTCTGGGTCAAATCCCAACCCTGTAACTTCACTAGTGATACACTGAGAAGTCTCAAGTGCCTTTAAGTAAAACTGCCCTAAGGTAGGTCATTCACTTATAAAACCAGGGATCTAGGTGTCGGCTTGACTCACCTTCTGCAGTTTTTTAAAGGAGGATGCTTTCATGTTCTCTGATAATTTAACTGAAAAATACTATTAATTTTATTAAGGAATAAGCAATTACAATGAATGATAATCTTCTGGATTCACATGAAATTTTTAAAATAACAAGATTAGAACATACAGAAATATTCATGAAAAGTAAGAAATGAATTTCCAAACAGAAGTGAAGTTTTTGTTTTAAAACTTCCAGTTCCACCATACTACTGCAGTAGCATCATATCAAAAGCAAAGTAACTCAAGTGGCACTGATCCAAGTGACAATCATTTCTAAAACCTTCCAAAAAAGAAGGCACACTTAAGAGGCCTATCTTTTCAATTTATGTGGAAATAGATTCCCCTGTCTTGATTCTCCTTTATGGTTCAATCTTAGCAATACTGCGTCCACTTCTATGAAGCACCAAGTTCAGTTTAATCAATACTTAACTAACTCCAAAAAAAAAACAAGTCATGACCTTTCAACGGGATTGCTACATCTTCCAATTAAAAAGGATACAAAATCTCTAAGCTGTCCAAATATTTCATCCACTTTTCCAATTTGTTCTTTGTTTTCTAAATAAACTGGAGCATTGAAATAAGGTACTTTATTTTCATCTGTGGTACATTTACACACTATGTCATCTTCACAAGGATGCAGGAACTCTCCTAATACTGAAATAGGACATGAAATTGTTAAAACATAAAACAGTTTCAAATGATATTGACCAACCTCTTCTAGAAGCTTTCCTCTTGGCTGCCTGGGATTTCACCGTATCTGTCTAAAGGCAAAAAAGCCTTCCTGGCTTAGTACCAACTTCACAAAATACTAGCTATGTGACCTGCAGTAAGGGTCTCACCTTCTCTATTCTTCAGTGTCTTCATCTTTAATATAGGGCTAACAACAAAACCCTCGCCTAACACCTAGTACAGTGAGGATGAAGTAAAACAATAACTGTCAAGTGCTTAGAAAGTGCCTGGCATATTGAGACCACTCAACCTGTAAGTTATTTTATTATAGTTACTATTATTATTTGATTAAATACTATGCTTCATTCTATTGTTTCTCTTCCTTCTCCCCATCCATAACTCTAAGACAGTCTGTTGTTCTCCTGCCTTTTCCCCCCCTTCTCCTTTTAAAACTTCCCACTTACCACCTTTTCACTGACTCTTCGATCCTCACCAAGAAAGTCTGGAATTTCACATCTAACTTATATCCACCCCAAACTAAAATACTCACCATATTCCTATAAAACCAACTCTCAACTCCCATCACCCAAGTTCAAAATCGAGAACCTTTTATTTCTAGTATTAGTCATCTTCTAAGTTTGTTTCCACTGAAATCTCTCTCCCATCTAACCCTTCCTTTTTTCTTCACTTTCGCAATGCTCTCAATGTGTCATGCATGGACTGTTATGGGGACAGGATCTTTGACTCTAGCCACTGACCTCTTTACACCATTTTGCATACTGATCCAACTTTCTCTTCATATATTAGACTCTATTTATCACTCATCACTATGACACTAGCAAAGAAACTTAACTCTGAATCAATTTTCTTATCTGTAAAACGGAAACAGTACGGGTAAGGACATAAAATACCTATTTATACCTCCCATTCAGCCTAAACTCTAGTTCTATTTCCATAATGCATTTTAGATATACTTCAGCTTTCTTACATTCTACAGCACAATTAGAAGCCAGTTTACCGCCTCTCCGTAGGCTTGACTCCACAACTAAGGACCAACCCCCTGAGAAAAGCAGCTGCTGCATCTACCTTTCAGCACCAGACTCCTAGTCAAACTTACTAATAACACAGACCTACAACCTCCGCCCCCGACTCCATTCCACCCTCGGCGCCCAAGTAGGTCAAGCTCTGAAGTCTACATACAAACTACTTGTTCTGGAGGTCCTTGATCTTGGCCTTTGTTAAAGCCTCCGCGACCGCCCCCTCGTCCGAATCCTCCTCTGCCGCCGCCGCCTCTGAAATTGCCGCCGCCTCCACCTCGGAAGTGGCTGTTGCTGCTGCCGCCGCGACCGAAGCCGCCACCTCGATTAAATCCTCCGCGACCTCCGCCTCGAAAAGACATGCTCGCTGCTACCTGGTGAGAAAAACAGTGCGTGCCGTTCAGTCACTGGGGCCTCTGGGCCTCAATCAGAAACCGAAAACGCGGATAACGATAACAGCAACCCTGCCACCTCAACCACGGCCAGAGGGCCAGCGACTCGCCCGAAAGATGAGTGTGACCTGCCGACAGCCCTGGGAGCGCCGACCGACCACTCACGAGCCTCCTCCCCCGGCAGGCAGGAAGGGCCTCAGCCGCATTCCCTCCCTCCCACCGCTGCATTCCACGTCCAACATTCTCAGACCGCCTGGCCTCCTCCCGCTACTCACCGGCGCCACGTGCACCTCAGGCCCGGGTGCTCACACCCACACTCCGGTACTTCCGCCTCACACGAGCCTCTTCGGCCACCGTACCGGGACAAAACTGAAGTGGGGAGGGAATCACTTAGAAACTCGAATAACTGGTTTAGAAAAAGCCAGGCACCTGCGGAAGCAGGTACGCTGTAGCCTGTCCGAAAGAGCCTTCAGTGCTGAAAGAGTATCACTAATATCTCAACATAAACCGTTACTTTACGACAATCAGCTTTACTTGCCTATGGCGAGCAGAGGAAGTGACATACAATATCGGCGTCCTTTGAAGCATGACGTTGCAGGAAGTTCCGCTCTGCGGCGTTGCCCTTGGCGACAACTGGCGTCAGGGCCCGCCCCTCTGCCCGTGGCCCGGCCAGTTCTGGTTGCGAGCTTAGTGAAGGTCCGTGCTCTATTGTTAGACTGCGCTGCGGTGCTCTTCCTCAACAGTTGGTTGCAGCTCTCCCAGTTGTTGAGAAGATTTGAGCCGCGCTCTGCCGGAAGGTGGATCTGTTCGCATCGGAACCCAATGAAAGGGCTTGCCTGAGTTCTTCCGAGTCGTTTGTTTCTTCCGGATCCTTTGAAGTACGCACGATTGTGGGCAGTACTGTGCCCATCGTTTTATCCTATGGTTTCACTAAGTTCAGTTTATTCGCACAGCCGTGTACGACTCTGCGACTCCATGGACTGTGCAGCATGCCAGGCCTCCCTGTCCATCACCAACTCCTGTAGTTTACTCAAACCCATGTCCATTGAATGGGTGATGCCAACCAACCCATCTCATTCTCTGTCGTCCCCTTCTCCTCCAGCCTTCAATCTTTCCCAGCATCAGGGTCTTTTCAAATGAGTCAGCTCTTCGCATCAGGTGGCCAAAGTATTGGAGTTTCAGCTTCAACATCAGTCCTTCCAATGAACACTCAGGACTGATCTCCTTTAGGATGGATTGGTTGGATCTCCTTGCAGTCCAAAGGAGTCTCAAGAGTCTTCTCCAACAACACAGTTCAAAAGCTTCAATTCTTTGGTGCTCAGCTTTCTTGATAGTCCAACTCTCACATCCATATATGACTGCTGGAAAAACCATAGCTTTGACTAGATGGGCCTTTTTTCACAAACTAATGTCTCTGCTTTTTAATATGCTGTGTAGGTTGGTCATAACTCTTCTTCCAGGGAGTAAGCGTCTTTTAATTTCATGGCTGCAATCACCATCTGCAGTGATTTGGGAGCCCCCAAAAATAAAGTCTTGTCACTGTTTCCATTGTTTTCCCATCTGTTTGCCATGAAGTGATGGGACCAGATGCCATGATCTTAGTTTTCTGAATGTTGAGTTTTAAGTCAACTTTTTCACTCTGTTTCACTTTCATCAAGAGTCTCTTTAGTTCTTTGCTTTCTGCCATAAGTGTGATGCCATCTGCATATCTGAAATTATTGATATTCTCCTGACAGTCTTGATTCCATCTTGTGCTTCATCCAGCCCAGCATTTCTCATGATGTACTCTGCATATAAGATAAATAAGCAGGTGACAATATACAGCCTTGATGTCCTCCTTTCCCAATTTGGAACCAGTCTGTTGTTCCATGTCCAGTTCTAACTGTTGCTTCCTGACTTGCATATAGATTACTTAGGAGACAGGTCAGATGGTTGGTATTCCCATGTCTTTAAGAATAGCCACGGGGTGTTGTGCTCCACGCAGTCAAAGGCTTTGGCATCATCAATAAAGCAGAAGTAAATGTTTTTCTGAAACTCTCTTGCTTTTTTGATGACACATGGATGTTGGCAATTTGGTTTCACTAAAGCAAGGGGGAAAAGTGTGTGTGTACGCGCTAGTAAAGAAACTTGTCTGAAGGAAAGCCAGACAATATTTTTATTTTTTGTGCCAAATAGTTTGTTCCTCTGCAAGTACATTTTGAGCACCAACAGGACAGTCTCTACTACAAGCCTTTCTCCGCTCCTGTGTTTAAGTCCTGGATATCTAACTTCAGCTTCTGCTAAAACTTATCTCCCAAACAAGGCTAGCGACCCTCCATTTGCTAAATTTGAATTATCTTTTTTTACTTGAATAATCTGAGGCCTTGCTTTGATGTTTAGCACAGTCACCCGCCTTTTTGAAAGAAGGTAGGGATTGGTATCTTTTTTAGGGGTTATTTACATATTGGAAGAACTTTATAGACTTTAACTGTGGGTATATTAGGAATCACAATATGTCACCTACACTAAAGTACAAGCTTCTTGAGAAAGCACCTAGCAATCCTATAAATAAGAAATTTTTTCTGAATAAATTTTTATTCAGATTTGCTAAATACACTTTAAATTCTATACATCATACAGAGGCAGAATTATTCATAACAGCCCTGTTCTGTTTTGCTCTGTGTACATTCAGTGTTTTATCTGCAGTTCAGTTCAGTCACTCAGTCGTGTCCGACTCTTTGCGACCCCAATGACTGCAGCATGCCAGGCTGCCCTGTCCATCACCAACTCCTGGAACTTGCTCAGACTCATGAGGTGCCATTCAACCATCTCATCCATCTCATCCTCTGTCATCCCCTTCTCCTCCTGCCTTCCATCTTTTCCATCATCAGGGTCTTTTTCAAGGAGTCAGTTCTTTGAATCAGGTGATCAAAGAATTGGGGTTTCAGCTTCAGCATCAGTCCTTCCTATGAATATTCAGGACAGATTTCCTTTAGGATTGGCTGGTTGGATCTCCTTGCAGTCCAAGGGACTCTCAAGAGTCTTGGTGTCTGTTATCTCCAACTCAAGGTGTTGAAACCATTGAACTTCTATGGAACCTTCAAGATTACATGATACCCCTTTATTTTACATGCAAGAAACTGTTAGAAGGGAAGAAACGTCCCCAATTAGTTACAGGGACAAAGTGAAACCATGGATTGTCACACCCCATCAATCCTTTGCCGTATCACCACCCCCAGGCTCCCTCCTTCCTCTTTTCAAGTTATTCTTCATTCCAATTCCCTGTTTGTCTTCATGGTAGCATCATACTTTTGGTTTCTGAATCTTTGGACGCCAACATCTGAGCCCTCTCCTGCCATCATCCCCACCCAAACTTGGTTGCAGTCTCTTTATTCAAAGCTATCTATTTCTATTCATTCCATCTAAAGTTGACTCATACTGTCGATACAGGCCTCTTGTAACCACACTCTCCTCTGTTATTCCTATCCTAAATCACCCAATATAATCTACAACAACTCAAAAGTTGAGAAATAATTGCAGTGAACTACAACACCCTCACATTCTGAGCATCTTTGTTGTGTTGAAATAAATGCCTCCACCCTTTTCTTCCTTCCATCTGTAATGCATGTGATGACATACTGAACTTAATAAAAGTTTCCTCATACCATAGCCATCTTCATGACCCTAAACAGTTTGCTGTTTCCTTTAGTAACAAGTCTAAAGTAAAATTTCCACATGACTAGGCCTTCTGGATAATTAATTTTATTTCCATCCAGCACTCTACACTGTTTTTCAGCCCCATCAGACCAGCATCATTGCCTTGCCTCTCTTTCTCTGCCAGTGGCAATCACCTCCTTCTTGGAAGAGCTCCATTTCCCATCCATTAGATCAGCCTTTTTCTATCCTTTTACCCTGAAAGAATCATTGAATTAATTTTTATGTCTCAGAAAACCCTGCATAAAAATTTTATATACCCAAGTGACACAGTGATGAAGAATCTGCCTGCCAATGCAGGAGATGCAAGAGGTGTGGCTTCAACCCCTGGGTTGGGAAGATCCCCTAGAGAAGGAAATGGCAACCCACTCCAGTATTCTTGTCTGGTCTGGGAAATCCATGAACAGAGGAGCCTGGCAGGCCATTCTCCATGGGTCTCAAAGAGTTGGACACAACTGAGCAACTGAGCACACAGCACAAGTCTCCATCCCAGTTCATTACATGATCAGAAGCTGATAGACATGCAGACATAAGAATCCAATAATAATTACCAATGCTTTTTTTTTCCAACTATGGTAAAATATGCATAACATAAACTGTACCACATTAATCATTTTGAAGTGCACAGTTAACATGGTTCACACTGTGCAACTCAGTGCTGTTTAAAGAAAGGTGTTTTTCTATGAACCTGTTTATTTTTGTCCAAGACTACAACTTATTGGCCTACTCTGTGTAGTTTCCTCCTCCTCACAAAGGATCTCAATTATTTTTTTAAAAATTTTTATCAAATTAGAGTTACTGTATAATATTATATGTTATCATTGTACAACAGTTATTCATAGTTTTTAAGTTTAATACTTGATTTATAGTAATTTAAAAATAGGACGTCAATTCTCATGCAAATTGAGTAGGAGAGGAAATTTCAATTATTTAATTTAGTAGAGTGCAAATTGGTTTTAATAAATATTAATCATTTTATAGGCCTCCATGTACATAAAAGTTATTTAATGCATAAATTGTTTCATCTTTGGCATGTGAGAGCACTCTCAAGTTTGGTCCTATGTCTTAATACCACTCACTAGCTTCTGATGGCTTCCTCACTCTCTGACACTGGATGGCTCTGTCTGACATACACTTTTCCTGCCTCAGCCCTTTCTTTAAGAAGCCCAAAGAACACAATCTGGCACTAAGGGGTGGTTATTGCTTCTGAATATCATGACTTCTGTGTCTTATCATTGGACAGAGACAGGAGGTACATATTTTTTAAAAGGAAAAAA